AATCTGTCATTTCAATAGCATAAATATGCATTAATTAGATTTGTTGGTATTTCATTTCTTAAAATATATTAAGAAATATTTGATAGCAAACTAGCTAAAATAAATTCTTATACTCTATTTTTTATATATATTTATTTATTGTCTCAACAGGAATAAAAACGGTTTATCTGTAAACACGGTATCTAACGATTTTGACATCTGTTTTAATTTAATACAGATTATTACAAGTTTAAGTGAGATTATTTTGTTTTTCTTACAAAATCTGTATAAAGTGTAACATTTTATTTATTGTTTGAATTTAATATAATCAAGTACAATTAATAGAATCCTAACAAAGTAGTATTCCATAGTGTCATTATGTATTCAAATTCCTATTTTTCCCATCATACGTTTGAGTCCTAAATATTCCTTCATGTATGACAAGGCAACTCAGACCACAGTGGCAGGCATAAATATATCCATTCTGTGACAGCGATGGGGTAAAACAACAGAGGACAAACACACATACACACAGAAGAGCTCTCTGCTCATCAGACAGAAGGCACACACACACACTGACCACCGCACAGCCAGTAGCTCCCTCTGTTGACTACTCCTGAACTGCAGACTGAAGGGCCGTCCCGGGCACACAGCTGCCAACCTGCCTTTGTGTCCCCATCAAGACGCAATACAAGAGCACTGCAGCACTCTCATATGACAGGCACAAACACATACTTTTCAGTCTACTTTCTCTTGCGAGGGACTTTGAGTTTAGGAATTTGAGGAAGCAGAAGCAGATGTAAGAAAATTATTTGTTTGCTTTGAAGCTTGATAACAGTATATATTTAGGAATGTATGTAAGTGTACATGCGTGTAAGTTGTCTTTAAGTTGCTTTTGCATTTTATATTGTCTAATGCACAAATGCACAATCAGTCAGACAGAATAAATCACAAAAAATGTAAAAAAAAAAAAAAGTGTTTTCCCAAACTCATGTATAATATCTTTCATTATATAATTTACATTTATTTATTTATTTATTTACTTACTTATTTATACACACACACACACACACACACACACACACATTGTAATATAGTATTAAAAATAATTACCTATTTTAATATGTAAATTAAATATATATATGTGTGTGTGTGTGTGTGTGCGTGTGTGTGTGTACACACATACACACAGCATTTTTAGTACAACTCTTTAATTATTTTATTCAATTACCTATTAAATTGCTCTATTTTTAAATTATGTTATGAATATAGAAACAACAGCATCACATTTATGCAGTGTTATTGTTTGTAATACGCTTCTCCGCTCAGCCTGAGAGCTTTCACTCTGAGACGCCCCGTGCTGACCCGAGTGGCTACAAATAAGCATCCTGCCTCTTGAATTTATTACAGCCCAATTTTTGACAAGTTGATTTTAAACAACTCCAGCGGCGGTCGCATTGACTGTATGCTCGGCGGCTGGTCGGCTGATATGTGACCCAAGTGAACTTGCCCTCCACTATTGACTGGCGTGATTGATGCTCCGCCAAGCTAGCCCTGATAATTCTTAGCCACATGTCAACAGCCAGTGACCAAAAGGGTCATCCTTGTCTTTAACATTTCACACACACAAATAAAAAACACACGCACACTCTCACGCCCACGTACTCACACACAAACGCTTACAAAAGCCAGACTGGAGTCTTTTCAAATCCATTTTGAGACTTTGCATACCCGTCCTTGCTAGCGCCTAATGCGTTTTGTTTTTACATCTCAGAGCTCATCTTTCAATCTGCCGGCTTGTGAATTGAATGCTCGTCCGTCTCTTGTGGCAGAACGGGATTCGGTTTGAAAGCGAGACGCGGCTCGTTGTAAAACACACACCGTCTGAACAATAGAAGCAGAAGCGCTGTGCTAAAACTGCTAATGAAAAAGATGGGCAGCTATTGACACGTATCGACAGCCGCTGCAATCAGCGCAGACTAGTCGTGCATACTTAAGTTCAAATGTATTCAGCGGGGCAGCAGGGATTAAAGGCTGTTAATGACAGCTTGTAGTAGCGAAGCCAGGCTCGATTCTGAATAACTTTGAGCTGCTAAGAGTGCATTGTTGTTATGCTTAAACTTAATGTTGTTAGCATGTTGCTATCGCAGTCAGATTTACTCACTGACAGAAGTTTGGAGTGATGTCTTGGGTCTTTCCAGTCCCACGTGGCAAGTGTTTAGGGGTCACAGCTGCCCATTCAGCACAGATATGGAAATGTGACCTAAAGGGGGGTCTGTCAAAAGCAGGCAGGCCACTGTAATTGAATCAATACATCCGGACACAACACTGCACCCCTGCTGTGAAACCTAAATAAAAAAAAAGCATGTCGGCAGTGGGAAAAAAAAACTTTGCTAGTTTGAGCTTTCAGGTTTGATTCACTTTAACCGCTTTCTTTAGATGCTTTTCAGGCAAGACCATACATCTTCAGTCATCAGTCTGAAATCAGTCCATCTAACTGATTTCCTCTTCTCAGTGTGCATCTTAGTTCCTCAAGTATGAGTGCTGTCTGTCAGCTCCACGCTCTGCATTTGATCTTCGTGGATCTTGATATGAGGAATGTTTGTTGGTCTCATGGGACCTTAGTGAACACAGGTATCCCTCCTATCTGCATTCAAACATTATGGCGGTTCCCGTTCTCCTCATCCTCTTCATTTCCGTTTGTCATATAGTGCAATTAAAACAGTTTCAAATGGCAGTTGGCTGCCTGTTGTTTCCAGGCGGCGCTTTGAAACCACTGCTTTAGTATTTTTTAATCATGTGCCTTGTTTTTTGTGGTGCAAAGATTGCAGAGACTGTACATTGTTTAAAAGCAGACAGATGAATAAATTAAGCAAATGTAACTTTCCAAGTGCGAGCGTGTATGTGTGTGTGTGTGTGTGTATGCGTGTGTGTGTGTGTGTGTGTGTGTGTGTGTGTGTGTGTGTTGGCCGGTCAGAAACAGTAGAGTGTTATTTCAAAACTCCTTTGTTAGACCCAGAGTGTCCTTCAGCAATGGCAACACACTTCCTTGTAATAAAAATAATCTTCTAGCAGTCTTTTACACTTCTCTGGAAACAAAGTTGCATGATTCTGATCGTTCAAACGCATTTGCTTTTCTTTTTTCTGCCCATCTGTTATTCAAAAGGAAAAGCCTGAATTTCACTCAGTCGTTTCTATTTATGCCATATCAAGCTTTTTCTTTCTTTGTGCAGTTTAGAAGTAGATCTAATTTCCCCGAAAGATATTAGTTTTCAGTGATGTGTGCGTTGCATTGATCTGCGCCTCTTTATTGTTGATGTGCATCTCTCATTCGATATATCTTACTCTACACAACGCACCTGCTGCCTACCTGAGCATTAATAGCGGTTCGTAAAAATTAGTTATTTAAAAAAAAAAAACAGATATTTTGTGAAATTTTGAAACAAGTTATTAAAATATGATGACAGTACTGAAATTTGATATAGTCATACTATATTATTAGTAGTATTATTAGTATTATTTATGTATAAATTAAGGTCAGTTTGAGCACTTTGTCAATTATTATTATTATTATCATTATTTGTTCATTCATTAATTCATTTATTTATTTATTTTAGATTTATAGATTTTTTTTAGATTTAATATAAACATCTTCATACAAATATGGAGTTTTTTTAATTTAAATGTTTTCCTAAATGTGGTTTTAAGTAATGACAAAGACCAAACTAATATATTTTTAATTCATTCATTCATTAATTAATTAATTTAGTAGTAGTAGTAGGAGTAGTGCTATTGTTATGTCAAGTAAAAAAAAAAATACTATTTAATAAAAGTTTGACTGCTTTGTAATTTTTTTAAGGACTGTTGAAAAAAATGGTTATATGACTTCATGTTTATTAACACTATTAAAGCAATTAAGTAAAAATCAATCAAAGAAACCTGGGTTCGTATATGAGATCCAGTGAACAGGTTTAGTTCAGTTTCAGAGACCCAAGACAGGCATTTTAAAGAGACGTCTGCCTCCAAAATCCCTGCAAGTTTGGAATATGAAAGACGGTCAGATGCAATTTCTGTGGCGGCGTGGTGGGGCAAGTACAATGGTTTGTAGGCCGGTGCGGCTCCTGAATTTTCTTATCAGTGGGGAATTGCGGTGTGCTGAGATGCCAGCAATATCTTCCCTGCTGCTGCTGGAAATGCAGCGAGCCTGTGACACGCGCATAAACATACACACGTACTTGCGAACGACGCGCGCCGGCAGCCTGGATGCTCCGCAAATGTGACTCAATCATTCTAGAACAAAGGGGTGCCTTTGATCTTTCCTCAGCCTTTTCTCGCTGTATCTGTCAGTGATGTGGTCACGGTAGCATGTGTCCACTCCCTCACTTCCACATTTGCTGTGATGGGCCGCTGTTATGATGTTGTGGTGGATTGCAACAGTTTTTCAGCTCTGTATCGCCACTATTTCGACTCACTTAAAGTGCACGACAACATTCGCAAGCCTGAAAAACTAAATTTTTTCATTGCAAAACGAACTGTATTTTTCAATTTGTTTATAACACATATTTTTTTTAATGTTCCCCGTGCAGGTGGACGAAGGAAACGAATGAGCGTGCAAACAGAGGCGGATGCAAAGCGAACAGCAAGCGGCTTCATTCACAATGTTTTGTATCAACAAAGTGAGCGGTTTTATCTGCGCACTTGACAGCGCAAGCCGATAAGCATTGCTGAGGGAGAGACGCGGGCTGCTTCTTTAAACCCTCTCTCACCCCCACTTTCCCTCTCATTACACCACTCCCCCTCCCTCCTTCTCTCCCTCTCTCTCTCTCGCTCGCTCGCTCGCTCTTTGTCTTTCCCCTCCCCTCTCTCCCCGCTCCGTCTCTCTGTGGGCGCAGACACTGCCCTGTCTCACTCCAATTGGCTGGGAAGCCACCAATCTGGCATCCGGGAGGGCCGGGGGGACTGCATATGCAAAGCCCTGCTTCATATTAATGAGCAGCAATCGTGGCTTTAAGTCCTTGATTAGAAGAGTGCAAGAGCTTTTGGTCCCAACTGGCTGTGCCTATAGGCTGTCACCGGGAGAACGGTCCTGTTAATTGCACTGCTCAGTCACGGAAGGGAGAGAGAGGAGGAGGAGGTACAGAGAGAGAGAGAGGAGCGGAGACAGAGAAGCCAGAGAGAAAGAGAGAGAGAGAGAGAAAACTTTAATTTATAGAAGAGGTTTGCTCAAACGATGATCGCAGAGCGCACATGGATTCGGTAGAACTTTCGCTCCCTGAGTGTTTTTCCCTGCACTCCGAACAACAGTAGGTACATTTTCATTTCTTCTACTTTTACTTGTGTGTCCGGCTAGACTGTTTGTTTTGTCCGTATAGTTCCTGTCCTGGTTTGTTTGTGTGTTTATGTGTGCATGTGGTCACCGTGGTCCTCCTTGTCAAGGTTGTTTTCGCTGTCAGGCAGCGTCTGGAGCCTAGTGTGCGTGCGGACGTACGTTGTGCCAGTAGCTGACGGCTTATCCTCTATTACAGCAATCTGTGTCCGCTTTGACAGGACAGAGTGTGTTTTGTGTAAATCATTAGGAGTGCGTGGCGGAAAACAACGAGAGAGAGAGAGAGTGCCGAGGGAGGAGGGGAAGACAAAAGCCATGGGATAGATGGGAGAAAACGGTCTTAGGTGGCTTGAATCGCAGACCGGTCACACAGCATGTGGCCCGCTAAATGTATTAAAGATGGTGTGCTGGCTCAGAGAGAGAGAGAGAGAGGGAGGGAGGGATTGAGTGCGCGGGGCACGAGCGGACGTCCAGGAGCCGGCAGAGAGAACAGCTCCTTAGCTTCATATTTATCTCCGTCCCGCTCACTTCTGTCAGTGCAGAGCGAGGAAACATGAATACGCTGATTTAGATGTCAGGTTCTGCACTGGCAGACTTTTATTCTGTTCTAAATACCTGCTATTTTGTTTAGTTGTTTAGTTATAAAATCATGTGAGATAACAGCTAAAAATGAAATATTTTAGGTGAGAAATATATTTAAAATAACATTCATAGTGGTTCTTGAAAAATGTATTTTATAAAACTAATTAAAAACAGATTAAGTCATGTCTGTTTGTAAAACATTGTGCATTATGTAGTAAATCTTTGCTTTTTTAATCTGTCAAAATAGTGATGTAGCAGAACAAGTGCACGTACAAGTTTGATTAAAGAAACAACCGAACTATTAACCTCTGCCCTCTGCTGCATATGAATACTGATAAGAAAAACAGGCTGTGAACTGGCAACACCTACAGTACAGAGAAAAGAAAAAAAAGACACTGAGAAGGGTCAGAAAGATCACAAACAGGTAACCATCCTGGTCTCCTAAACCTTCAGCCACCGTCCTGCAAAATACAACACACGAGAAGCTCAACTTCAGCCTGAAAGCCATTTATAAACACACCTGAAGAATCCATGCTAACGTAGTTGTGAAAGGGAATTTATTTAGTGATGGAGATTTAAAATATCGTATGCTGATGGAATGACAGCAGTGGTGTAGGTGTGTTGGCACACACCCTGCACAGGATCATTAGATTGACTGGATTATTCAGAGTCATGAAAGGAAATTCAGAGATAAGAGTGTCGGTTCCTCACAGCCTTTTAGCCATTTGGCGCCCGCTCGCTGTTTGATCTTTATTTTAACACAAATTGACTACTGAGATTCTAATTAGTATATTAATGACGGTAATAACAACAAGTGCTGGTTTAGCTATTATCATAATTAGAGACTCTCACCGTCTGCATGTACATTTACATCTGCACGCTCATTTTAATATTTACATTCACGGTTGGAGAGCGTGTTTGTATGTCTTTTTGGATTATTTTAATTATGATGGGAACATTTATAGATGTTTTTATTATTATTATTATTAATATCCTTATCTAGATTTTAGTTATCAAGTTATTTAGGATATCTAAATGTCTATTGTGTGTTTTATAAAAAAAGATTTAAAAGCAGTTTATTTAAAAACAAATAAAAACGGATTTTTAAAATTAATTTAAAATTTGTTTTATACATTATACATATTTATAATTTTTTTAAATGACATTTTTTTTTACATATGTGGTGTACAACTTTGATTGTTCAGCGTGTTTTCAGTTTTGTTTAACGAATGAATGAGGACATTTTAAAATACTTCCATATTTACGTGAAGAAATTAATGCAGCTTCTCAAAAGATTGTCATAAAATTACATGCATGTTTTTCTACTGATTTAAATTTTTCCTCAAAACCTTCCGTAAATTTCTAGAATGTATGTGTATAATAAAAAAGAAACAATTTTTAAGCAAAAAGGAGAGGAAGAAAATTACATCAAAGCTTAATGCTTGACATTTTTTTATTTGACCAGAAGCAAGCAGTCAGCTTTTTAAAGGCAATGGAGTGTGAATGTCCACTGGAAGCGCGGGTGTCATGTGTGTAAAATCACTGCTGGACTCTGCAGTGGGCTGAATAGTTCAGCGCAGAATCGTGCAGAAGGTGTCTGAGTGTTCACTCATGCATGTTCAACCTTTTGTCGCTTTTGCGGATGATTTTAAAACTCCCAAACCCCCCTGTGGCCCTTGAAGAAAACTTGATTTTGCGTTTATCTCTACACCCGTTCATACTCCCTTCTCTCTCTCTCTCTCTCTCTCTTGCAAGAGGCGAATGAAACCCCAGAGGCTGGGATCAGCAGGAATAAAGAGAGATTGTGTAAATTAAATTCCATTTAATCTCCTTATAAAATCATTTACTTAATTCATCTGTCAAATGATGTCAATATGCACAGCGCAGATTTATTTATTCTGCCATGTTTATGTGTGTGTGTGTGTGTGTGTGTGTGTGTGCGAGGAGGCCTTTGTTGCCGTTCAGTCTTGATTTGGCTCCATCCCATTCCCCTGTGTGAGAGGTGTCGTGGCTCGTCCTGCATGTCTTTCTCTTTCCGTGGCCCCTTGTTGATTACTGTCTGGACACTCTTTGTCTTTACGCTGCCCTGCTCATTGGAGACAGAGCATTGCCACTTCCCCATTATTTGAAGGGGTCTGAGGCATTCCAAGGGTAATTAACTCCAGTTAAAAGAGAGCCCCCTCCCTCCCGGCCCCTCCAGCGGCCTGTCATTCAGGAGAAAAGAGAGGCCGGAGGGGGGGCCGTAAGAAAAAAAGGGAAGCTATATTTTTGCTCTTTTGTTAAAAAGTGCAATAAGTGGCCCGTCGGATGGACGCACACACTCGTGTGAAACAGTCGCACGCAGGTGCCGCGCACATGAAAACACACGGCCGGCCGTGAGCGCGAGAGCCTGATGATGCAGTTGTCAATTTGTGTGATTTATGCATCAATCCATCAGGATTTTCCAAACGCACTGCGGCGATTTTTTCATGAGAAGTTGAATAAGGGTTTTAACAGGGCCCACGCCAGCTGAGACTCGCTTGATTGCGTAAAAAAAAAAAAATGACCCACCGGCATTAGCGATTACACCAGAATGTGCTTTATTCTCTGCAATTTTTAGACCTTGGTTTCCCATTTGCTTCTGTCTTTATTTTGCGGATGATTCGGCCTGCTAGAGAGAGGCAGAGCAGGCGCGGGCCGGCTGAGAGCCTGTAGGATACAGTTACAGCAGGTCAATAGGGAGTGTGGTCACTCCAGAAGCAGGAGGGTTCATGGGGGCTAGATAAGGGTGTAAAAATAGTGCTTTTAGCCACTGCGTTTTCCACCGGCTCCCAGCAGACTCACCGTTTGTCTCTCGGCATGCGGATATAGCTTTTCTGAATCTGTTTTCCCTTCCTGTTTAGTTATCTCTCAATAGAAGATGCATTACAACAAATTAATGTGTCTTTTGTGTGCTGGTTTTGCACTTTAAAAATATATTAATGTAAAATAGTTTTAGAAGTAGATTAGCACTGTGAAGTAAATAATTTGAATATAAGATTAAAATCGGGATGGCATTTCAAAAATTTTTTTAATAAAAGTAACTGGCATTTACATTTGTTTGTGGTTATGTGTGTATACACAGGAACATTTATGTGTGTGTGAAAGTACAGGATGTTAGAGCTTTAAGGTGGTAAAGTTTCTCCAGTTCTACTGGTGTGAATCCGTACTGATTTTTTAATCTCTTTTAGCTTCATTGGTCTTCAATGAAATTGTGAAATTGTGGTCGTCTCGTAACAGAGAAAGGGAAATTAATCGCCCAGCTGGGTGACGGATGACAGTGAAATATTTCTCTGCGCTTTCTCCTGTCATACATCACGTGTATGTGTGTGTGTGTGTGTGTGTGTGTGTGTGATGAGATCAGTATGATGCTTACCATGTAAGGCCCGACTCCTTGCAGTCAGCTGTGGAATGTTTCTAGAGGCTGTTCTGGACTCTTTGAATCGCTGAATTTCTGCACTGTTCGGATACTTGAATCATTTTATATTTCTATTATCTCATGTTTTACATCAAATTAAATTAAGTCAGTCAGAATATTTCAACAAAGTGAGTTATTTCAAAACATTTAGGTGAAAATCTATTTTATTGTTAATGCACTCCGCCGGGTTTGTTTGTAAAACACCTTTGAGCTTCTATAGGGTCGCAAACATATGTATTAATATCTATACGCACACCTTCAGGCCAGTTTTTTCCCTCAAATAAACCAAAATGATGAAATCCTTGGAGAAACGTGCTGCATTTGAAATTCAAATGCCGCTAAATCAAGCCTGTGTATGTCATTTTCTTCAGCACTTTTATGTACATTATCTCGCTGTGCTTGCTTAACATGACTTTTTAAAACCTGTTTAAACGTGCCCCCGTGGAAACGCTTAGGCAAACAGAAGCTATTGTTTCTTTTTCATCTAGAATGCGAAATTTCTTGACTTTTATTTCTGCCCTGCTGTAGATTATCGAAGCGATCCTGATGGGAGGCTTTTGAACAAATCTGCTTATGTGCGGTAATTCTTCCAGACAGGGTACGGATGTACCTGACTGCAGCCTATAGCACTGTTTGAACTCGGGGTTGCATCACATGTATCTGCAGATAGCAAAACTAATTTTTTGGCATGCTTTGCGGGATGTAAGAGTAGACCGGTGCATGTCTGTGTGATGTGTCAGACGGGTGTATTTGCACTTCATAGCTCTGCTCTCGTCTGCTCCCAGCCCCTGTTGCGCGGGCGAACGGCTGCATTCCCGTAGAGATCCGCGTGCTTCCAGGCTGGAGCGCCCGCACGCGCTCCGTCATATTAAAGCTGACAGTCCATCTGCCGCGTTGCCGGCCACGCTGCCTGTGCTGCCCCTGCGTGCGAGGCCTGCGTTTAATTCCACCTGTCCCATTCTTCAGCCTTCAACCCCCAAAGGTTAAATCACGTGCTCGTCAGCGTATAATAACAAGAAACCCTGCTGACACGGTTTAAAGCCACCACCGGTGGTGTCTGTGACATGATAGCACTAACAGTGTGGCATTTAATAGCTAAAGCTATTATTAAGGAGTTAGATGTAAGTCTATATTTGTGTTTTGTGTTTATAAGCGTCTCTGCATGTGTAAATGTTTAAGGCGTGTATGTTTATTGGGTATGTATGTTTTAGCTGGTTGGAGGACTGGGTAATTAGCAGGGTATGAGTAACCAGTCGTGTGAGCTGTCAGGAAGGAGTGAAAGAAAGAGAGACAGAGAGATATAGGCATGGCATTTACCGTGCATGGGGCGGCCGTTCCTGTATAAGGAAGAATGGCACCTGTCTAATCAATCAGACCCCCACTATTCACAGATGGAATAGCAACACATGAGTGAGTCGCAGAGCATGGCCGCAACACAGACACACACACACACACACACACACACACACACACTTGGCTTAATTCAGCTCATTGTCCTGCGTGTTAATCCTTGTCCGCATGGATGCAGTACTTAGGCGTTTTGACAGTAGCGTGAAATGGGCTCAGGTAGATCCCTATAGATTCATTCTCTCCTCTAGAAGTGCCTGTTTCTCCCACTGATCTGAAGTGACACTTCATTTTAGCTGTTACTCTTGTTTTCATTGTTTGACCAACCTTTTATTTCTAAAAACCTTTTAGTTCGTATTGTTTTAATAATAATGATAATAATATGAATAATAGTAATAATAGTAATACATTTAATGAATGAGAATCATGGTTATTATTATTATTATTAGAGTAGTAAAAACTAAAAGGCAATTTTAATATATTAATTAAATTGAATCCAAGTAATTCAGTGTTAGTATAATATTTATCTATTTTCATTGTGGCTTTATGGGGATGATCAGACTTTGTCATTTAGGCACCACCACATGATTTTGTTGATTTAATTTTTTATATTATTATTATTATTGTTTATTTTTATCTTTGTTCTGTCTTATACAATTATATAGGTTTCTTCTCATTTCTTTTCTTTTATTTCTTTTGTTATTTCATACAATTATGTAGCCCTAAATGGAATAAAGAAGTGAGTAAATGATTAATGTGATGTGCTGTAAAAATGTACAAATGAAAGGAAAAATTTTGACTGTGCTCAACAATCCAGCAATCCTGCCCTAATTAATTTCCCTATATTTGCATAAACTATTTTACTGTACATACTCGGGCCACGATTACATTGTTATTTGCATAGTTCTGTCACAAATGCTGTTCTGAAATATCAGCCGTACTTTAGCATTCCAGATGAAATAGATATTTTGTTTTCCGGAAGTGTTTAGTGAATGACTGAGATAAATGTGTATGTTTGTATATGTCCGTGTGCACGTGCATGTTTTTTATGTGTTGTGTTGTTTACTTTGATTTAAACATTTAAGATGATAAAGAGATTTTATATGCTTGAAATGCATATAAATATGCTTAGAAAATGTATTTACTGCTGTGTTAATGTACTTTTTTACATGCAAACCTTCCTTTCTGATTTCTTTTCAGATGTTTAATATTGTGCCACTAAAGTCAAAGAGTTTATTGGCTTTTGATGTAATTTTCATCCTCGTTTGCTACTAGTGATGCATCCTGTTATATACAGCATGGCCTGTCTACACATCTGACAGGAATGAAACAAAAAAATAAATATTGCACAGTGCTTTAGACAGCATCCCAGTAGTTAATGACAGATATTTAATGACGCTAGCATTGGGAGTGCAGTAGTGTGTTTGTGTGTAAAGTCACGTTAAAGAGAGTTGAGAGAAACAGGAGTGTATCAGGACGTGTGGCGTGTGTGATGCTGGAGCTTATCGATTCCGCTGCTCACTCGCCCAGAACTAAAGCCAACACATTACGTGTGTGTGCGTTGCTTTTTTCCACTAAGCTCTGACTGGCTCACCAGCCTCACACACGCACAGCACATGCTGTTCTGCCCACTGTTTGTGAGGTAAACACACTCTGAAGTGTATCACTCCAGAATTAACTCTCAAATTAGCAATGATTGCGACAAAATGATTTGACAATAGCAAATGTTATTCAAACACACTAAGGCTCCCTGAATTTTTATATGGATTTCATGTCCTCGAATTTGAGAAATTGATTAGGCCTCGAAATACAAAAAATAGTAAAACTACAATGCAAAGTAACATTTTGAAACTTTATACTTTAAGCTGAAAGCACAAGATTATTTAGAAACAAAAATTTTTTTAAAATGGACATTCAGCGAGAAATGCCTAAACTTAATCGCAGACAGATAGAAGAGGCGGATCGACAGAAACGAAAACAAGAGCCTGAGAAAGAGAAAGACGGGAAGACAGGTCTTCATGGCTGCGTTCTCTCAGACAGCCGCTGAAGCACAGCATTAGTTGAGTGATTAGTTTCATCAGTCCGGGTGTGGGGACAGGTGGGGGTTGACATTGAACGTGTTTGCTGAGTTGGAACGGAGAAGGAGAATTAGGGGCCTCCTCTGTTAATTAGAGAGTGTGACAGACTCACACACTCAGCCGCACTGCCTGTGGCTCGTATCACTTCACTTCACTTCCTTTGCTCTCCAGTGCTTTACTTTAATCGTACAAAATCCACAGTTTGGAATCTTCAAAAATGAGCATTTCATCTTTGATGGAGAGCTCGTTGTTTAAGCCGAGAACTTTAAGTGTGTGTTAAAGTGCACAGGTGTTTTTCTTAGGTGCTTTTTGTGGCCTCAATTAATTTCCATAAGTTTGTATAAAGATTTTGCTGTACTAACACACAGCCGAGGGTTATTTACATCCAGTAAGTCTGCAACAGACACTCCTGAATCAGTCTTTTGTTTTCTTCTGAGGTGTCTTTGAATGTTTTCTATGTGATTTTTTTTTATGTGATTACCTGCAGCTGAGAGTTTGTTAAAAGCAAGATTTGATTAATAAGGACGTCTATCTTTGTCCTTGAAATGCCCGATGATTAGCAAATAAACTGGCATACGTCAAAACATTCCTTGTTCGCTTATATGATCATTTGTCAACCAGCTCTGCCCCCTCTGATTCAGAGGGTCCCGTAAAGCCACGGGCTCTCCCGCCCTTATGTGTACAGGGGCCACGGGCGTGCGTTGATCTCCCCGATTCTTTCTTTTATCTGCCGACACCTCAGACTTGTTAAATCTGCGGCTGGTAGAATGATGAGTCTGTGCATTAAAACCGCCAAGGCCGGTTTCAGTTAACGCCTGGCATGAACAAAAGAGTCTGTCTTTACCCTCTTCCGATCCTCAGCGGAGATGCACAGTTACAGCCGATCCATTGAAGAATGCCGGTCAGGAAAGAAGGAATATTTTCTCTCACAGAGTGCCGAGCTGCGTCACTGTCTGTCAGCAGTTAATGGCTCAATGGTTCTTTATCAGAATTCCTCAGTCCATCTCACTGACCCTCGTTTTTATTCCTTTTCTTGCTCTCCCTTTTGTTGTAGAATGAATTTATCAAAGGCCCAAGTTAATAGCGAAGATAAGTACGCCAAATGCGGCGCTTGGAGAACACAACAGCAATACGACATCGAGGCCAGTCACATGCGTGATGCACATGCTCTATATAACCAAAGGTAAGGAAAGGACCAAAAATGGTGTCATCAAAAGCCAAAATCAGTTGTGGTGATTATTATTTTATTGTTTGTTTGTATGTTTGTTTGTGTTTTGCCTGCCCAGCTATTATTTATCCATGCTTGCTTCATTCAAGTCAGTGTCTTAGTCTAGTTCATCCAGTGTTTGTGCGTGTCGTCAACTTGCAGGATGTAATTGCTGCATGTTGTACCCATTGTGTGCTGTAAACCTGGTCCTAGGCTGTTCTCTGGGCTTATAAATGTGCAGAAGAGTAACTAGATCATTTACATGTGTTCTATATCTCAGTGTTTGTGTGTTGGTGGAGTGACGTTTATACATCTGTTTCTGCCTCAAGCTATAGATAGAGAGAGAGAGAGAGAGAGAGAGAGAGAGAGAGATAGATAGATAGATAGATAGATAGATAGATAGATAGATAGATAGATATGGAAAGTTTATGTTGAGTTTATGGGTATAGGTTAGAGAGGTTGCCGGTTGTCGCCCACTCCAGATGCAGAGGAATGTGTTAAATGCTTCAAGGATTCCGATTAGCATATAAATTTAGATGTATGAAGATCATTGCTCCGATCACGAGTCAGTGAGTTTTATCTAGATTTAGTGGGGGCTGATTTGCGTATAAAATACAGCCAGATGTGACCAGTTAAGAGTCTTCACCAGGCCCTTCTATCTCTCTCTCTTTCTCTCTCAGACCATCTTCTGTAAAATGTCTTTGTTTGACTGTTGTAATTTCAGGTCATTTATGGTTATTACTTTAGAGGTTACGGAAGGGTCAGAGAGAAAAGTGCCTTCACCTCTTTGATTTAATTTCAAATGTTACAATTTATTTTCTTGGATATATTCATTTTCGATATAATTTGTATTTTTTATTTATTTATTTATTATTGTTATTTTGGGTTTTTTTGCAAGAAAATGCAAATATGGAATGTAAGTTAACACTGTAAACAAGTGAATTATTTCTGATGTGTTTAAAGGTACTTCATTAGAAATAGTATGAAAAGCATTGTATAAATGGTTTTATGTTGCTTTGATCACTCAACTTCCTTGTTTTTGGAGTTTAGGTTAGGTGTGTGTCCTAGGGCAGGATTTTTTTTAGATTTACTCAAACCTTTTAAAAGAAGGTGACTGTGCGTTGATGGGGGCCCTCAAATGTATTACATGGATTAGATTTGGGACAGGTTAGTCTGGGTCAAACCAATTAGCCTCCATTCGCATGCAAGAAGTCTTCTCCACTCTAAGCCAATCAGGATCACGTTACTGGCGTAGTCGGAGCTTGTAGCTCTCGATAGACAGGCCCTGCCAGGCAATCCAGTGTCACGCCATGGGCCTGAAACAAAGCATGCTGGGAGCTGGAGGACATGGCTCTCACCCTGAACATCCACATTGGTCGCAGAACAGTTTGAGTTCTTGTGTTTATTCGTTTTGAAGGGCTAGATGTGCATCAGTGGTGTAAATTCAGGGTTGAAGCTAATGCTAATGCTAACAGGCATGTCAAACACATTCACACACACACACCAAACAGAGCAGGATGTTTCACTATCAGCTGTATCTAAAGATTTGAGGTTAGTCACACATAGATACACACACATGTACGCTTGCGAGCACACAATCTTACGGCGATGGCCGTACATTCATGTGATACACAAACACACACTGTTTACAGTTCAATCAATTACGATTCACACAGATTTGTGGGAAAAGCATGTATTAATAGACTAGTGCAGGGGATCTTTGGGAACCAGGAGAACTTTGAACGCTCGTGGAAGTCTGCTTGGATAAATAAATCCCTTTACTGAAATAGGCGAACACCCACCTTCAACACTTCCTCGCACACATGCACACACCTTCCTCTGATAAGTCTCATTTCAGAGCGGAGTGAGAGAGACAGAAGCCTGGTCCTGGGGTCAGGGGAAAAACCTCTCCATCTGCTGGTGAGCTGTTACCTAGATGCAAGCCATTTCCCAGATAAACGGAATTAACTGATTTAGCTCCTCGGCCTCTAGAGGCACTGTTTTATTTATATGATCAAATACTCGGAAAATTATTAATTTGTCAAGGGAGCGGCTTGTTACTGTAAATTTAGCGGGTTGTGTAATAAACTAGATTGCCTTAAACGCAGATGGGAAATGAAGGGCTTTTGGGTGCAGTGCGGTGTGGAGATTGGATTGAATCGCAGGTTTATAACTGGGAGGATTATTAGACTGAGGTGTTTTATATTGTGTTAAAACTTAAAATCTTTCAGGAGTCTCAGGGCCGAATGTGATGGGCTGGGGCTACTTGTTGGAAGTAGATGGATGTTGATTTTATTGAAATTATGTTTTACAAATGGATAAAAGTCATATAAACTGGAAAAATATATATATTTTTGTATCTTAAACATCTTTTTTTTATCTCAAGCATTTTTTTAATTTAGATTTTGTAATATGTGACCCTGAACCACAAAACCAGTCAATTTTTTGAAATTGAGATTTATACATCATCTGAAAGCTGAATAAATAAGCGTTGATATAACTATTTGAAAATCTGGAATCTGAGGGTGCAAAAAAATCTAAATATTGAGAAAATCACCTTTAAAGTTATCCAAATGAAGTTCTTAGCAATGCATATTACTAATCAAAAATTAAGTTTTGATATATTTACAGTAGGAAATTTACAAAATATCTTCATGGAACATTTTTGGCATAAAAGAAAAATCAATAACTTGGACCCATACAATGTATTTTTGGCTATTGCTACAAATATACCCCAGCGATTTAAGACTGGTTTTGTGCTCCAGGGTCACATATTATTATATATATATAACAAAATATTCATATCAGTGTTAGTATAATTAAGATACTGTTACAGTTTTAATTATTTTTAATCTTTTGTTTTTCTTTTTAGTTTTAGTTAAAGTTTTAGTAATTTTGACGTGTTTTGTCTTTTTTGTTTGTTTTTGTTATATACTTCAGTTTTAGTTTTAGTTATTTTAGTGCATAAAATTAAATTAAATTATAATGATAAATGTTGCTTTGGCAACAAACTAAATAAAAAAAAAATATATTTTTTTTTTCATTTCAGTTAACATTTTATTTTAACATTTTAGTTTATTTCAAGTAAAGATTTTTTTCATGGTTTTAATTTTTGTTTGTTTCAGATTTAGTTTTAGTTATTTATAATATTCCTCAGATTCATAGTCCTGATGATACATTACATTATTTATGATATCCTTGAATTTTATTTATTTTTAAAATGTTCATGTTAGCAGTACTTAATCTAAATATCATGCACTTATCATTGCTCCTATTATATTTTAAATGTTTATTCATTCATATCTATTAATATACTGTACGTGTTAATATATTACATATATTACATATATTTTTATATGTATTATTTTGGGGATTATTATTTATATTATTATATTTTGTGTGTGTGTGTGTGTGTGTGTGTGTGTGTGTTTATATATAGTCAAATAGTAAATTACTATTGTCTCAGACAACTATAATGAAAGAAACAGCATAGCTGTGGTAGTTCTGTCATTGAAGGTAGAATGATGTTACCGTCTTTGCCATCAAAGCATCAAAGATGCTGAAAAATTATTTGTGCCTCTTCTTTCACCCTAATGAAAGTGTGCCTGCAGACATGGACGATGTTTAGCTCAGGTTTGGGGACGGGCTCCATTATTATATTTTGTGTGTGTGTGTGTGTTTATATATAGTAAATATATAGTAAATGAATATAGTAAAATAGTAAATATATATAGTAAATTATTCTTGTCTCAGACAACTATAATGAAAGAAACAGCATAGCTGTGGTAGTTCTGTCAGTGAAGTTAGAGTGATGGTACCGTCTTTGCCATTAAAGCAATGCTGAAAAAATGATTGGACTGTTTGCGTCTCTTCTTTCACCCTAATGAAAGTGTGCCTGCAGACATGGATGGAGTTTCGTTCGGGGTTGGGGACTGGGGTCCTTGCAGAGAGAGAGAGAGAGTGGCAGAACGGGTATTACAGAGGTAAACCCGATTATGGGTGGAATGTGAATTAGATTTTGTAACAGATGGTGGTGTTGAAAATTTAAGATGCTTTGCGGCAGGGGAAGGCAACAGCAGCTCGGCGCGTCTCCATGCGAGGGGGGGGTGATAGACAGCTATAACTCAGGACAATCCTGCCTTGACAGCCAATTTCAAGAATCTGATCTGGTTAAAGACATGGCTTTCACCGGTTCACTCACCAAAAAAACAACCACCATTTCTCTCTCTCCCTCCCTCCTTCTTTTTCCCGCTCTCAGCACCTCTTTTACACGCTTGTCATATTTCCTGGAACAAAATCCTCTTTAACCATCTGTTTAATAGAATGTGTTTTTAATCTCCATTTTTTAACTCCCGTTATTTTCTATTATATTTACGTGCAATTTCATTTCTTTGAGACTGCGGCTCATCCTCGCTTATCTGCTCTCATGTCCTGTTGGGGTTGAATAGATGGGTGCTGCGCTCCAACAGCGGTAAAGCAGTGATTTTAGGCATATTGCTTATTGAAAAATGCCAAAGCTTATTTGCTCTGCCCTGTTCTTTAGAGCCTGTCACTGCTGAAGAAGCAGACGTTCGCTCCTACCCACAATAACGTCAGATAATGAAATAATGATCACGTCAAACTTCACAAATCCCTGTTTTGGTTTTTAAACTCTAGTTTGACCTCTTACATTGACAGCGATTCGGCTAGACTGACAGTTTTTGCTGAACTTCATACATATAGATCTTTTCAAGTGTTTTTGTGTGTGTGTGTGTGTGTATATGCTGTTCGTGCTGTTGAGAGGGACATCTTACCTGATAAAGCAGAACACTTATCTGCCCGCACAAGAAAATGACCTAAATCATCAAGATTTTCATCTACGAGTTTGCCAGGGTCTGTCACACACACACACACACACACACACACACATGACTCTTATCGGGTTTGGACATCTTAGCCCTGTACTGTTGTCAGTGAACAAGAGAGAACCGCATATA